CTCCCGTGCGGGCTGCGCGCTGGGCGCGGCCGGAGCGCCGCTGCGCTCTCTTCGGGTCCCCCTTTGACTTGGCGGTGCGTACCGGTGTGTGCTTACGGCGAGGCGGTGGTTCGGGGGAGCGCTTCTTCCCGGGGCGTGCGCCCCTGGCCCCTCTGCCGACGTCTTCACGGTAGCGGTGAGGGCCGCCGCGCCTCCGCCCGCCGAGACCCCGCGGGAGACGGGCTTGGGGAGGCTGCCCCTCGGGGCCTGCCCGCCGGGCCGGTCGCCTCAGCCGGTCGCCAGGTGGCTTCTGAGCGCTGCGAATTACCGCGCACTCCACGATGCAGCCTCAGAGACCGTCGTCGGCTGGCGGAAAGTAGATGAAGAAGAGCTGAGGGCCGCGTGATTTGTTCCCAGCTTCAAGCGGGCGCTTCATCGCTTGGAGTGCGCGGAGTGAGGAGGGCTTCTCGTTCAGACCAGCTCTGAACTCCCTGCGGAGCCCGGACTGGCGCTGCGCGTGCAGTGACTGCCCGCCTCGCCTCCGGGTGCGGGGATTGCGGGTGAGCCGCCGCGCCGCCTGGAGGGCGCCGCCCGCCAGATCCTTTAGTCACACCACCATCCTTTTATCTCGGGATGTGAGGTAGAAGAGTGTTCAGCTTCTCTAACGAGAGCTGCCGTTATGGACCATACAGTGGTTTATATACTACATACAGAGCATTTCACTATATAATCACCTGCAGAGTTTGTGTTATACTCTTGCTCCCAAACTGGCATCTAGTGCTGTTAGCAGATACCAAGCTTTTCCTTGTTTAATTTGGCCTCTTTAGTTTAATTCAGTCCCCAACACCCTGTGCATTGTGGTTCTTTTCTTCCAACTGTCTTAGATTTTCTTCTCTCAAATGACTATTAAGATACAGCTGAATTAGTCATCTTCTAAAGTAGAGGGCGTGTTTGTTAATGAATTTCAATGCCAATATGCTCAAATTACCACCAAGTTTTTATCCTTGGATAGGTCTTTGATTGTGATCTACTTCTTCTAGGCTTTATTTAGTAGTTGGAGACCTCTCTGTTCTAGTTTAAACATAAAATTTTTACTAAACTATAGCATAGGTACAGAACTTGGCACAAAACATAACGCAAGACATTATGCTGCAGGCCGCTCTCCAAAGCAAATACTACTCATGTACTCATCATCTGAGATTTTTTTGTTGTTGTTCTTTAAATTCAGATTTAAAATACATTTGCTTTGTATTTTTACAGGCCATTTCAGAGATGTCTTCCAGAAGTCCTAAAGATCTAATTAAGAGTAAGTGGGGATCAAAGCCTAGTAGCGCCAAATCAGAAACTGCATTAGGAAAACTGAAAGGAGCAGTGGATGAACTTACAAGTGGAAAAGGAAAATTTACTGAAAAAGAGAGACACAGATTTTTGGAGGTAAATGATCTTTAACCCTTTAGAATGATGTAAGCTTTCTTAGAAAACAATGTGTTTTTCTTGCTGCTTCTTACTCTTGTCATTATCCTTGAACTATCCAGTTCATTACTTTAGTTTCTTTGCCAACTTTTAGCTACTACTAACTCTTTAAAAAAATCTTGTATGTTTGTATGTTTGTGTGTACGTATTTGGTATGGGGCCTTGTGCAGCTCAGACTCACAGTGATCCTCTTGACTCAGCTTCCCCATCTCATCTCTGGCTGCTGGCTCAGCAGCCTGGGATAGGCCGGCAGGGCATGCAGTACCTGGAGCGAACCTGTGTCATTGCGCTTGCCAGACAAGTGCTTGGACTGCCGAGCTATCTCCCCAGCCCTCACTTTTTAAATATAATTGATAAATAAAATATATGTGTTTTAAGCTTATGAGATACTAAGCTTTTTTTTCCAGAAGTAAATGCATCTTAGCAAAGTGTGGTGGTACATAGCTGTAATTTCAGCTCCCTGGGAAGCTGAGAATGGAGGATTTTAAGTTTGAAGGCAGCCTATGCAATTTAACATGACTGTCACAAAAAATAAAAAAGGCCTGAGTTAGATCCCTAGTATTAAAAAATAAAAAGAAAGCAAGTGATGGGGAAGGATAAGGAAAGAAAATAAGTGCATCTTGATTTAATAGTCCTATGCCTTCAACACAGTACTATGATCTTTTTTTTTTTTTAATTTTATGTGTGTGTGTGTGTGTGTGTGCGCGGCCCGCTCATCCCACCAGGGGTGGGGCTGGCTGGCATGTGGTGCTGGGGGATTGAACCGTGGTTCCTGTGCTTTGCTAAGCTTGTTCTAAGTAGGTGCTTTAGACCACTGAGCCATCTCACCAGCCCTGAGTACTATGGTCTTTTTCAATTATGTAAAATAATAGTTCATTATTCCTCCTGTACCTTTTTTATAACGTAGTTTCATTATGTCTCTATTACAAATTCTGCTATGATATGTCATAGTCTGGTTTTTATTGCTGTACCAGTACCTCGGACTGGCTAAATTAGAAAGAAAAGAGATTAACCAGGCCTTTGATTCTGGAGACTGCTGCCTCTGGTTCGGATCTTCATGCTGTGTCATAGCGTAGTAGAAGGTCAGGCACATACATGAGAGAGAGGGAGCGACAGACAGCGAAGTAGGATGGTGGGCAGGGACTGTAACCAGGGCTACATTCGCTCTCAGCCCGTGATAACTGACCCAGTCTCATGATAAGTCATAGCAGGGCTCTGCCCTGTTTTTCTCACCTCTTACTAGGCTCCCTTGTCCAGCATGGTTCCATTGATGATTATGACAGCATGCTGTACTTAAGATCCTGTAACATACTGATTTACATTTTCACTGTTTTTTATTTACTGAATAATTTTGAAGTGTTGGAGTGAGGATACAGCTCAGCAGCACAGTGCCTGTGTGGTAAGCACAAGGTCCTGAGTTTGAGTCCCAGTACCCCCCAAAAAACAAAAAGGAAATGTTCTAGTTCTGTGCTTTTTGCAATATTATAATATTCACATACGTGCTTTAAGGATACTGTGCCATTCTTAATTCTCTTTTTCACTATAGGGGAGAAAAATGTATGTAGCTAATATTAATATTTTTCTGTTCACTAAAAGTAAAAAATTGTATCTCTGTACCTAAGATGTCCTAAATCCAGGCTGGGGAGATAGCTCAGCAGTCTAAGGAACTGCCTGGTAAGCGCAAAGACTGAGTTTGATCCCTGGAACCACATGCACGCCACGCCAACCACCGATGGGGCGTGGCGGCACACGCCCGAAATCCCAGCACTGGGGAGGCTGAAAGGAGGATCACTAGCAGTCAGAGCAGGGAGTAGTGAGACTCTATACCAAATAAATAAAAGATTAAAGAAAAAAAAAGATCCCTTAAATCCTCTGTGCACTTCAGAGTGTGAAATAGTGTCAGATTTTCATGTGAACATCTCAGAGTGAGAGAATGTTTGCTTGTCCTTAAAAATGGTTAAAAATGTATTATATCATGCATGTTGGCTGCTTTCCAAGTAATCTTTATTTTCAGGCTTTGTTGAGGTAAAATAATTTTGCATATTGGTATTTTGCATGCTCAAGCTGTTTTAGATTCCCTGATTTACAATTTTTTATGGTATAAAGAGTAAAGAAATTAGGAACTTAATTAGAACTAGAAAGAAAAGTTTCTATCATAAATTTGGTCTTCATTTATTTTGCAAAAATGCTTTGATCATAAAGTGTACTATAGATTTTCTTACATTCCATTTATAGGATCATGAAATGTAACGATTTATTGTTATTACTATTATTATATATTTAGTACAGGGTCTCACTATGTAGATCAGACTTGTAGTGATTCGCCTGTTTTCAGCCTCCCAAGTGTTGGGATTACAGGCACATGCCACCACACCCAGTCTCAGTGGGTCTCAGATAGCACCCTAGGGATCAAGCCCCAGCCACTGCGCTCTGCTTGAGCAGGCACTTTAGTCCACTAACCTATCTGTCCGGTCCTATGATTAATTATTTCTAACGATATGAATTGAAATACTTATCTAAGAATTGAGAAATGAACAGTTATCACTAAATCACAGATATAAAAGTTATCTTGCAACCTGTTAAAGAAACCTTACAAGGGCCAGCCTGATCGCTCAGCTCAGCAGACGAATGTGCCTACGTAGGCAGAGCGCAACGGCCGGGTCCGGGTTCAATCCCAGCCTGCTGTGCCGGCCCTGCCTGCAGGGCTCCATGAGAGGGCAGTTGAGACTGGGTGTGTGCCTGTAATCCCAGCACTTTAGCGCTGTGTGGTTTGTCTTTTATCCTTACTAAATTGTGCACCCAAGATTGAGCACTGCTCCACAAATTTTATAGCTCTAGCTGTATTTATTATTGATTTGAATCAAACTTGTGGCCCTTTAGACTCCCCTTTTCAGTTTTCATATTGATAGTCATCCACCTAATCTCTCCATTATTATTTGGACTATTTCTTTCTTACCCTGATGTATGATTTAATTTGTGTTGTTTTGACTCTATTAGGCTAGTCATCCTAATCATTATTTCTGTCATCATCCTGTTGGCTCTGACTCCCTCATGCCAGCAGCAGTGTAACAAGCATTATTACTTGTCTTCAAAGCCTTGGAAAAATGTTAAGATTACCTTTCATATGCCATCCCAAATCATTTGTCCCTAAAAAGAGTTTAGTTAATCAAGTTCAGCTTTATCCTGCTTAATGTTCTGTACATTTTTAACCTCTGCTGGTCCAAGCTCACTAGAGAACACGTGTATCATGTGGGACTCATTTTTAGCCTTTAAATTCATGAGATGCAATATGATGGAGGGAGATTCTCAGATACTTATATGAGAGCTAGACTTCTGTAGCTTTCTGCCTCTACCCTTGATAGACATAGTTTCTCCTTTCTCTGCGTCTCTGGCCATTCAGTGTGGATGTGTGCATGTGAGTTGGATACATATTAAGTTAATGCGTACTGGCTTCTTTTCCTCTCTGAGCTCTCTGATCACAGGAGTTGGCTTTGTCTTTTAAGTTGTACTATCATAAAGCAACATTATATCAAATAAACACTATCATTGTTTTTTGAGGTGTATTGTTTAGCTGGATGTTTGACCTGACTTTGTTCTAAGATTCACTTAGTTTATATCTAGAAAATTCAAGTTCTTCAGGCTGAAAGGGAGAGAAATGTTTATCAGCTTGCGGAGAAAGAAAAAGAAATACAGCGACTCAGAGACCAGCTGAAGTCCAGATGTAGTACCAGTGCTTTGCTGGAACAGTTGGAAGACAAAACGAAGGAAGGTGACAGAATGGAACAGTTACTTAAATCCTTATCTGAAGAAACAGATTCATTGAAGAAACAGTTATCTGCTACAATGGAAAGACTTGGGGAATTTGAAAACCAAGCCAGTGCACTTCATTTATCACAGGTACTAATAGTTTCTTCAAACTCAGATTTTTTTCTAATACCATTTATAATTCTTTAAAAAAATTATGATTCTTGTGAAGATGAGTTTGTCAAAGCATGTTTGCTAAGTAATGAGACAGAGTAGTAAGCTTAAAAGTAACTGTATTTTTTTGCCCAGTCCCTTCTCTGTAAGCAAAAAATAATGTGGTTCCATCCAATCCTACACTATTGCTTTAACTGGAGGACTATTTAGAAGGCAGAGACTACTTGATAACTACAGTAACCAGTTTGTTGAACTACCATTTCTCTTTTGTATCATAAGGTTACTAGGCTTTGGGGATTATTTTTTATATTTTAACACATAATTATATCAAATATACTTTTCCTAGCTGTACATACATCTTTGCTCTCCAACAAAAGTTTGAGAGACGCTAGTATAGTACAGTGCAAAGCTTTGGAGGTAAAAAAATAAAATATGTATATATATATATATATTAAATATAAATATAAATATTTATTTATTTTGGTAAAAAAATAGATCTGGGTCCGGATCTTAGTTTTGCCATATGATAGCTGTGTGACTGAATTCCTTAACCTCCAACCTTAGAGACAATGGTAGGGCTCCCCAGACTTCCTTCCTGGAACCTCAGTTTCCACATCAGTAAGATCTAGATAAGAATAGTAATGGTTCAGCATGATATTATTTGTAAGTGGCCTACCATCATGCCTGGCACATGCTAAATAGTCTGTAAATGGTTGCTTATAGATCATTTTTTGACTCTATTGGATATTTGAACATTTAGACCAACACAACTATTAATACTTACAGAGATAATCTTCCAAATATAGCTTAATGCTGTTAATGGTCTGTCTTTATACTTTCTATCCCTTTGCTGTAGGCAGGCACATTGGTCAGAACTATACTTTTACATGTACTTCCATCTGTTTCTACAGATGAGTTAAAATTTTGTTTAGTGAAATTCTGTATTGTTTCTAATGTTTTTTTTAACTATTTTTTGTATTCTCTTTAAAAAATAAACTAGAATAAAGTTTTTAAAGTGAATATTTTCTACAGACTTTCCGCAGAACTCACTCATAAGACATTAGCATCAGTTCCAAAGTGGTTAACTGAAATCTTCATGTGATGTTCAAGGATAAATTTCTCCGCTTTTGATATGAATTACAAACCATAGTAGAAAGTGAAATTTTTAAAGATAAATTCATATATTTTTGTGGATTACTCAGTCCATCTTTGCTCATTGCATGACCAACTGCTGTAACAAACCACCTTCAAATCTCATCGTATTAGCACAAGGACTGTAGATTCTTCCTCACTTCACAGACCAGTGCTGGTTGGGTAGAGGAAGCACTGCTCTACAGAGCCAGAGACTGTCTGTAGGCCACACTGGGGCCGCACTGTCCCCAGGGGGGAGCCTTCACTAGATGGCCCATGTACTGGGACCTGTATGTGTTACTTCTGCTCGTACTCCATTAGACAGAAGTCAAATGCAGAGCCCCACTGCCTAGAGAGAAAGAGCCCACAGTATGTCTGAGGAGGTGGGGATAGGGGATGGAGGAGAGAAATACTTAGTGAAATCTCTCTGCCATATGTTCTGCCTGGAGGACCTAATGGAGAGAAGGGGCTGTATATTAGATTGAATGAAGAGTGTCTTTAGAGACAAAACTCTATTGAAGGGCTGGGGAGATAGCTCAGTGGAATAAGAGCTTGCCTGGAAAGTACAAGGTCCTGAGTTCAATCCCTGGTACCACCAGAACTCTATTAGACTTCCTTGGCAGCAGTCACATGAATCTCTTTCCTTATAGCTGATTAAAAAACAAAACAAAAACCTTGAAAAACCACCTTTTCTGAGTCTGTTGACTAGCCTGCTTACATAGCTGTCTACCTCCCTTCTGTTTTTTTCCCGTGAGAAAGTAAAGAAAAAGATAGACTATGGTTTGAGTTCCATATAATCTATATGAACTAATACTTGTACAGGTTGAGCATCCTAATCCAAATGCTGTAAAATAGAAAATACAAATGAATTGCATATTTAAATTTGAGTCCCATCTCCAAGATACCTCATTATGTACATGCAGATATGCAAACTCAAATGTGAAATAGTTCTGGTCCAAGCAGTTTTAGGTAGATACTTAACTTGTACTAATACAAAATATAATTCTGAGGGAAAAAAACCCTACTTACCTTTTGTTTTACTGTTTATATTTTCCAGATTTCATTGGAAGAGCCCAGTTGTTTGATTTGGCTCCTTTTAGTGAAAAACCACTGGGTTCTTATATACTAAGGGCTATTCTGGTACACTTGGGTCCAGATGACCTCAGAATTCAGGTTAGAGGGCTAGCCAAATAGCTCAGTGGATTGACGCACCTGCTTAGGCAGACGCAGGGGCCAGGGGTTCAATGGTACCCCCCAGGGTACACTGAGACTGATTGAGGCTGGGTATGGTGACACACACCTCTAATCCCAGCAATTGAGAGGCTGTAAACCAGAGGATCACTGAGTCCTGTCTCCACAGTGAGACCCTGTACACGCTATGCTAAAATACAAAAAAAAAGTCAGGTTAGATCAGTAATCCCAGTTTCCAGTTGTTTGGGAAGCTTCCAGGAGATCTAAATTCTGAGAATGACTGGTCCTCTGGTAGCTGTCAGATGTGCCAGACCTGGACCTGGGAATTTTCCTGGGAACATATTGTATCTTTAAGGAATAAAGTCTAATGAAGAAACGTGTTGTTGCATGTATGATATGGACTAATCCTGGGTTTTTTACAGGCTATGGCTGCAAGCTCACCAATGAATAATGCTCACGAGTTGGAAATACAGCTGAAAGATGTGAGTTTACTTTCTTCTCACATTATAAGTAAAGAGAGCTAGTTTATTCTCAAATTTCATGGAAATTGCTAGCATTAGTACTAGGACTTAAAAAACAGAATCTAGTGATGAAACAAGAACTGGATGTTTTGTGATCATTGTGTAAGTCTCTTGAATTAAGAAAACCATTTCTTCAAAGTATGGTCTCTTTACTGAAAAATTATCTACAAACTACGGTACAGGGTTTCAGGGTAAGTCCTGAGGGGATTTGACTGACCTTGTCAGATACAAAAGTTACTCTTTTTGTTGTATAGATCTTGCTTTATCTTGGTCTTAACCATTGAACAGAAAAGTATATTAATGAGGTATGAAAAGTAAAGCCATATTAATATGCTGAGCTGCAAAGGGCTCAAGTCAACAACTCTGACATTGCCAGTCCTACGGATAACCCACTACTACTATGGACTATTGGAGTATATTGGATTATTTTGCTGAATTCATGCACCTACAATATTTAAATGGCAATGGATTACCGGTCTCTGAGAAAACTAAAAAGAAAGGGGATATAAGTGAAGGACCGTTTTGTCTCTGTATATACAAAATAGTTATGATAGATATACAACTATTTTCTCTTAATTCAGTGAAAAGATTCGTACTAATAGTGTTTTGACAGGATATCATGTCTGCATCTTGTACTATGAATAACCACTAAGACAACAATATGCAATGTATTAATTATTGGAACTGTCCTATTAATCAGTTTGGAAACTGTCTCATTGCTGTTTGTTTCTCAATAAAATTAATTTTTTTTTTTTTTTTCCGGAACCTGGGATTGAACTCAGGCCCTTGCGCTTGCCAGGGAAGCGCTTATTCCACTGAGCCATCTCCCCGGCCCAAAATAAAATTAATTTTAAAAAGTTAAAAAATAAAGTAACAGTAATACATTGCATGTTGTTATCTTGAAAGTAATTGCTCAGCGTACAAGACATGGACATAAAAAATTCTCCAACAAATATTAGCACAAACCTTTCTTTTCAGTTAACTAAGGGACACTTACACATAACTGACCTGCATTTTCTCCCTTTTCCCTTCTGTCATTGTTTGATCACAAGGAGCACATGATCCTCAGGGGGCTCCTAGGTCCTAAGAGAGTTCTTAGGGGACCTGCCCACTAGCTCAGTTGTTTAAGTGCCTGCTTAAACAAAGCAGTCAGTCTCTGGGATCAGTGGTTCGATTCCTGCATACTCAAGGCAAACCAGACCAGCGCTGGAGGCAATCTGGAGCCGCCAAAAAAAAAAAAAAAAAAAAACCCTAAGAGAGTTCTTATATTAGTTGACTCTGTGTAACTTATGACTTAGGGAAAGCTTTAACAGCTGTTTCATAGAATTTATTAAAAATGGTTGTTGATATTACAGGATGGAGAAGTAGCCAAGAGAATGGTATCTGCAAACACCATTGTATTTGGTGGCTTCCAGGAAATGAAAATAAATGTAGTAGGGGTTGATATAAAGTAAGTTAGGAGTGGTAGGAGCAATTCAGAAGTGGGGGTTAGTAATGAAATTGTCTCAAGAGATGTTACATTTTAACATAAGACTCATGGGAAACCATTCATGAATTTTTATGCATGTTTCTTTTGTTTGACAAATACTCAAATTAGGTCTGCTGAGCAGGGTATTCATAAAGAAGGTGAGTGACCAGCCAGCCGGTAGTTCAGTGGATTAGAGCACCTGCAAGCAGGCACAGTGGCTGGGGGTCTGATCCCTGGGTCTGCCTGCTGGGCCGGCCCCGCCCCTGGGTGTGCTGAGATGGCATTTGACGCTGGGCATCGTAATGTGCACCTATAATCCCAGCTCTTGGGAGGCTGTAAACAGAGACTCATTATGAGTCCAATCTAGCAGTGAGACCCTGAACACCCTGTAGACACTTCCCTAAAATAAAAGAAGGTGAAGGCTAAGAGCCTTCGAGATAGCTCAGTGGACTAAGCACCTGCTTAGGCAAGTATAGGGACTGGGGTTTGGTCCCTGGCACCACATGCCTCACCAGCCCCTTCCCGGCTGTGCTGAGCCAGCCACCGAGGCCAGGCATGATGGCACACAGCTATAATCCCAGCACTGGGGTGGCTGGAAATAAGAGGGTCACTATGAGTCTGAGCTGCATGGTGATACCCATACCAAATACATTGAAAAAAAAAGGTAAGTGCTATGAGACATGGTTATCATCCCATAACTGTCGCTGAGTGGCCATGCTCAGGAGAAATACTCCATTATTAATAGGCTCTTTGGACTTTATGTATAAGACATTTGAGGTATTTTGTTCTCTCCACCTCAGTATTACAAACACAGAGAGGATCATCTTTGGTAAAATAGACATGTCCACAGGGCTGGTTGACAAGCTGCAAGAGGCTCTGGACTTCAATGTCCCATTTCTCTCTCTCTCTCTCTCTCTCTCTCTCTCTCTCTCTCTCTCTCTCTCTCTCTCTCTCTCTCTCTCTCTCTTTCTCTCTCTTTTTGTGGTACTAGGGATTGAACTCAGGACCTTGTGCTTGCCAGGCAACCACTTATTCCACTGAGCTATCTCCCCAGCCCATCCATTTCTCTTTCGAAGTAAAGTAGTGCATGATGTGATTCAGCCACTGAAATGTAAATTAAGTGCAGATAAAAAGAAAGATACATAATAAAATTAAAGAAGGATGTAAAGCTTCTATTATGATCATGCCATACTTAAAAAGGAAACATTAAAAAATTTATTTTATAGGCCTGTGAATTTACATCTGTTGTCAATTAAGTTCATAGGCTATATTTTAAAAATATTAAAGACTTTACTTTTGCAGGGTATATCAGGCTGGGTTGGAATTTGTTTTCTTGCAAGACTTGTACTACTTTGTTCCATGCTCTTCTTGACTTGATGGTTTGTGAAAAGAAATCTGCCATTATTCTGATGGGTTTTCCTTTAAATGTGATCTGTTACTTTTCTTTAGTGGCTTTTAGTATACTGTTCCTGTGCTGAATTTCTGGGATCTTGATTATTATATGCCTGGGTGTGGTTTTAATTGGGTTGATTTTTTTTTGTTTGTTAGTTTTGTTTGTTTGTTTGTTTGTTTTGGCAGAACGGGGGAGTGAACTCAGGCCCTTGCGCTGGCCAGGTGCTTGCTTATTCCACTGAGCCATCTCTCCAGCCCCTGGGTTGATGTTATTTGGAGTTCTCTCTGCTTTGGTGACTTGAATGTCAGATTGTTTCTGATAGGTTTTAGAGCAACAGCGATGGGGGCAGTGGTGGCGGCGCAGTAGAGAAGCAGAAATGGGGGAGGGAAATCCTTTATTGACTCTTAAACACACTTGGAGAGGACCGAGGGCAGGGAGATGGGTGGATCCTCTGACCTGAGACAGGGAGCCTGAGACTATATGGACTTCTGCTAGGGGTGGAGCTTGGGAGGCGGGGTCAGTGACGTACAAGGAGCTGATTGGAGGCTCCCTTGTGTGGGTGGGAAAGGTCACAGGAAGTTGCACCCAAGGCTGAAGTGGGGAAGGAGGAGGAAGTGGTTAGTGGGAAGATAAGCTGTTTTAAGAGCTTCAGCCATATCAGACAACCACCATAATAATTCAGCAATTTTTACTAGGGGCATAACCTATCAGTTTCCTCATATTTGGGAAGTTTTTTGCTATTATTACTTCTGTTCATATTCTTTTTATATCATTTGTATTGACTCCTTCTCATTGATGCCTGTTAGTCTTACATTGTTCATCTTTGCATCTTCTTGCAAGTGATTTTAAGAGATCTTTTCTTTTCTTTTTTTTTTTTTTTTGCAGAGCCAAGGATTGAACTCAGGCCCTTGCACTTGCCAGGCAAGCGCTTATTCAACTGAGCTATTTCCCCGGCCCCAGATCTTTTCTTTTTTCACTAGCTGCAATGGTGTCTTTAAGGTCTGAAAGTCTATTTTCACTTTCATTCAAACGGTTTTGCCAGCTAGTGATTGAGGTTTTATTTTCCTGTATATCACTTTGAGTCTACTTCATATATTCTATTTCTTTCCTACATTGCTTATTCAGGGGTTCCATCATTTTTATATTCTGCTCTATTTTATCAGTGTCTTCTTTAGAAGCACTTAGTACTTCTTTGATTATAGTTATCATTTCTTTTTTTACTTCAGAAATTATTTCTGATCTGATTTCCTCTATACCTTTCTGCAGTTGTTTCTTTACTTCCAATGCTGTCTTCTGCATTTGTTCTCGGTGGACTTGGAGCCTGAGACTGCATTTTGTTCCTTCTCTTTGTCATTTTGTATACCACTGTCTTCTGACCTTTGGTGTAGAGCTTAAGAGTTATTACCTTAGCACCAGGTCCAGATCTACCAAGTTCAGATTCCTCCAGGTGGGTGTGGCTTGGGTCTGGCTGCTGTGCTCCACTTCTTCCTGCTGCAGCCCTTGGAGGTGAACCCTCTGTGCTGCTCTGACAAGATGTTCTGCTCCTAAATCAGTTGGGTGGGTCTTGCCTCTAGCCTCTTTGCAGGGAGTTCTGCTAAAGGGTTCCATGCCAGGCCTGGGCTCTGGGTTGATTCAGGATCTGGTGGGCCCCGGGTCGTCTCACTCACCAAAAATTTCACTTTTGGAAAGAAGGAATTTTTTCTAACAGATAAGAGTGATATAAACTGGGTGGAAATTTACTAAATACTTTTACATTAGATGTTACCTCAAACTTTAAAGTCACATAACTGAAAAGCTTATATTTGGTACCAAAAATCAATACTTTTATTAAACATTCTCATTTGAAATAAAAAAAATTGTGGTTTCTTTTCCAGAAATAAAAGCACTAGAAATCATCTACTGTTATCAGATACCTCAACAATATCCCTTGTTCACCTAAAGTGAATTTTCCCAGTTATTTTTTTTAGTATAATATAATTTTTTTTTTTTTTTTTGGTGGAACCAGGGATTGAACTCAGGCCCTTGCACCTGCCAGGGAAGCTGTTATTCCACTGAGCCATCTCCCTGACCCTATATAATTTAATTTATATAGTTTTCACT